ATTTGGACTCACATAACTCCTGTGGTCCCCACCTCTTATCTAACAACTAACATAAAACATCTACTTAGAAAAACAACATAAAACTGATTAATCTTCAACACTCCCCCTCAAGTTGGGAGTAAATGTCACACATTCCCAACTTGCGTAGATCATGTTCAAGCTTGTTCTTTGCCACTCCTTTAGTGAGAACATCAGCCAACTGCAACTCTGAAGAGACGTAAGGCAAACAGATTTCTCCGGTTGTTACCCTTTCTCTTATGAAGTGTCTATCAACTCCAATGTGTTTTGTCCTGTCATGCTGAATTGGATTGTGGGCAATATTGATTGCAGCCTGATTGTCACAGTACAACATCATAGGTTCCTCTTCTTTTACCCCAATCTCACTCAAAAGAGATCTAACCCAAAGAAGTTCTGAGACACCATGAACCATGGATCTATACTCAGCCTCTGCACTTGACCTTGCCACAACCGCTTGCTTCTTACTCTTCCAGGAGATCAAGTTTCCACCTACAAAGGTACACACTCCTGATGTGGATCTCATGTCATCTAAGCATCCTGCCCAGTCTGCATCTATATAGGATTCTAGCTTCAAATTCTCATGATTTAAGAAAAGAATGCTGTCAGGGTGCTTTTTCAAATATGCAAGTATTCTCTCAATAGCTTCCTAGTGCTGAACCCGAGGTGCATGCATGTACTGACTCACAAACTGACAGCATAAGAAATATCTGATCGTGCCATACACAAATATAATAGTCGACCCACCATTCTTTGATATCTCCCCACATCTTTTATCAACTCACCATCCACAACATTAATTCTGTGATGTGGATCGATAGGAGTGTTTGTCGGCGCTGATATTTCTGAGGCTGCCCGTAGTGGCTCAGGTAATGAAACTAATGGAGGTGTTGGCTGAACTGATGATGGAATTGATGGAGGTGCTGGCTGAACGGATGATGGAACTGATGGAGGTGTTAACTGAACTGATGATGGAACTAATGGAGGCACAAAAGAAACAAGAAGAGGAACAAATTGTAAGTTCTTCTCCCCAAAACTCTCCCCCTGAGGAGAACCACTTGAGAAGAAGAAGGTGGATTCAAAAAAGGTAACATCCATAGTCACAAATCTACTCCTCGACACTAGATCATAACAGCAATACCCCTTTTAGTTTTGAACATACCCAAGAAAAACACATTTCTTGGCCTTAGGATCCAATTTCTTGCAATGGGGGCTGAGAATGTGAACAAAGGAAACACAACCAAAAACCCTCAAAGGTATGTGAAATATCTCCCCATCTGGAAAAAGAAGACTAAATGGCACCTTAAACCTCAAAGTTCGTGAAGGAACATGGTTAATCAAATGCACGGCTGTAAGAACTGCATCTCCCCAGAAATGAACAGGAACTGAAGCACACACCATAAGACTCCTTGCCACCTTCATAATGTGTCTATTCTTCCTCTCAGCAACTTAATTTTGTTGCGGTATATATRCACAACTACTTTGATGAACTACACCATGTTCTAAGAGATACGTGGCCAGGTCCTTCTCAAAGTACTCTCTGGCATTATCTGATCTAAAAGCCTTAGTTCTCACTCCAAATTGTGTGAGAACCATCTGGTGGAATTGTCGTACTAAGTTAGAAACCTCACCACATGATCTCATCAAATATATCCA